ACGTAGCATGAAGATGGGACAAAACTGATGGCTGAGATGAGGTCCAATGATGGGCCATTGGGCCTTTCCATAATGTGAAGCTCACATGCTTATCCTCTCTTTGATAACAACTCTACATTCCTAAACTTATCTTTTATCTTATTCCCCTCCCCACTAGCCTTTTTCTACTTGTCTACTTGCCCCATTTCCTTATAATCAATATGAGGATTTAATCCACACACACCCCCCCCCCCAACACACACAGAGAGGATATAATATATAATTGAAAAAAAAAATTATGTCATTTCTGGTTTCTAGATTTGTGGTCTACATAAGTCAAGATTTTTATAATTTTTTGATTAAGAAATTGATTTGTGAAATTGTGGTTAACTTTGAAAAAAGTTCCTGCTTGGAGGCCCAACCTAGACTTTTAGATCGAGGGTCAAGATTAGCAAAAACATATATGGTGATATATATATATATATATATATATAATATAAATGTGTCAGCATAACATATTTAATTTTTGAAGTACATCATCAAAAGAAATATATATATCTTTATTTATTTTTTTAAGCCACCCGCCCACCCCCCATGAATTGTTTCACGACATAGAATCACTAATTATCTTATTCCTGAATTCCATCACCACGTCAGTGAAATGTCATTGTCACATCAACAATATGTCAAGGTTAGAAATATTGACTAAAGTTAACTATACTTATAAAGAATGATTTATTAATGAAAAGACTATAAGAGCATTGATTTTAGTTGTTCACAATTTTTTGGTCAGAAGTTGTTCACAACTTTAAAAACTAAAGATAAAGAAACTATATTTTCCTTGCATATGATAATTTTGATACTTTTTTTCATTTTTTTTAAATCAAGAACAATATAATAGTGTTTTTTTAATCAAAACATCACTCATTATTTTACTTCTTTTACTAATCTTATTTTATCATGCGTTCCAAACATTCCCTTGTATTTAAAATACATTCCCCATAAGACTAACTGATTTAATAAGGTTGTGCACAGAGGTTTACAGCCTCAGCCAAGCATTTTATACCACTTAACATAAAATTCAATATAAGATCAATTAAGGACAGCTGACAGGAATAAAGGGAATTAAAAAAATATGTCAAGTTCAGTTTTATGAATAAAAAAAATCATATTAAGAAAGCATATTTCCATTTGAAAATCATTCAAGGCCATGAATGATTCTTATGTAAACTACACAATATATATCCATGAGGGAAAAAAAAACAAAGAAAGAAAGAGACAAGTTCCTAACCAAAACATGTTGGCTTAGTCCTTTAACTATTAGTTTATGAGTTTGATCATTGAAATAATGAGAATAAAAATGATGTATTTAAAAGAGTTATCCCTATTTAAAATCTGACTTAGCTTGAATTTAAATTAGTCAGAGCTTTCAATTTTAAATATTGAGTGTTTGCTATCAAGAAAAAGCAAGATCTTAATAAAATAAAATAAAATAAAAAACCACGCTGCTTTATTAGATACCTGAACAAAACTACGTTTTTTGATGCAGGATAATGGATTCATGATTGAGGTAGTAGGAATCTTCCTTTGTTGAGTTCCAGAGAGAGAAATAATTGAGTTTGAAAAAGATGGGATTGCATGTGATTGGAGCGTGAGAGGTAAGTGTTTGTGAGGTGTTTGGTGTGAAAGAAAAATCCCTGATTTCGTGGGGATGATGAGGGAACATCAATTGAAACATGAGGCACGCATGAAAGCAGCTTCATCAATATTTATTGGATGAAATAATAAAAGAGACTCAATATTTTTTTTAAAAACAAACTCAAGAATTCAAATCTTATAGATTAAAAAATTACATTTAAAAAATTATAATAGATCAAATTCAGATAATCCATAGTGGTAAAGACCAATTTGTCACTAAAAAAGAAAAGAAAAGCAAATGCCCCATTTTCCTTTCTGTGCATAACTACACAACAGTGACTCATCCGTCGCTCTTTTTCTCTCTCTATATTTGATAGCCACAAATTGTGATACACAATGGTGAACCAATAACTTGATGGTCCCTTGCTTTGTATTAACCAGCAAGAAACCTAATAATGAATGAGCCAAATCATATTTTTCTGGGTAGGTTAGATTGTAGTTTTTATGAGTTGAATTTTTGGATTTCTCCTCCCCCCTTTTCTTGACCCACAACGTTGTGTGGAATTCTGATGCTTGCCAGAACTATTCATTAATTAATAATGATTGATATTTTTCTACCCTTGAGCCCTTGGTTCAATTAATTAGAGAATATTGAAAAAAAAAATTGAATAGAGTGTTATAAATTCTTCATAAGAGGTTTTAAGTTTGAGTTTTAAAATTATAATCGCCTTAAATAGTTGGTGAAAGAACTTGCCATATCAGAGTCCCAAAACTGATCAATTCAAATTATTTTAAATATGAAAAATATAATTTTAAATTCCTATACTCTACTTGCATTTTGTTATAAGTCCCTACATTTTTTTAGTATTTTAAATCCATCCAAGATCTCTATATTTTATTCATGAAAAGAATTAAAACACTGAAAAACAGAAGGGTAGGAATTTAAAATATAAAAAAATATACCAGGACTCATAACAAAATACAAACAAAAAGTAAGGACTCAAAATTATATTTTTCTTTTTAAATATTGTTAAATCTATTGGTATGGAGTCAGACAAGTTACGTTCAAGATTTTAGGTGTAATATGTTAAAATGTGATTGATGTTATTTTTTTTTGTTCTACGACCTTTGTCTAAAATTATAAAATATTTTTTAAAAAATTTAACATTCTGAGATATGAAACACTTTAAAAAATTAAGGTTTATTAAATTGAATTATTCTAATATTACTCTTTCTTTCTTTATTTAATTTCCATCATTCTCTATTTTTAATATATTAAATGAAGAATATTTTTAAAAGTTTATATTTTTGTTTTGAAAAAATAAAATTATTAAATGTATTTAATAATATTTATTAGTTTATTAATATGTTAGATTTTGTATAAAAATGTCTTATAATTCAAGATGAGGAATACTTAATACTGTAGTTTTTAATTCTTATTATAATTTTTTGCAAGGAATCAACAGAGACACAACAGCAATAAAGTACTTAAATTCCTATAAACTTGAATAAGATTTTTAAAATTTAATACTGCACTCTGTTAAATTTTAGACATTATAGATGTAATTGAAAACACGCAAAAATACAACTTGTCTAAATTGAAACTCTTCAGAGATCAGAGGACACACTGGATTTGCTTAGACTTTTGGGAGATTTTTGTCTCAAAAATAGAGTCAGATAAATCCAAAATGTCATAATAATATTAAATAAATAGAACCGTCCAAGTAAATGCCTATGCATTGCATCTAATTAATGGAACTCGAGTAAAAAAAGTTTAAACAAAAATTTGGCTTTTTCTTTATTTAACTGCTCCTACCCTTTTTCCTATATAAATAAAAATATGCTTTTCTTTTGTCCCATGACAAACTGGGCACCAAAATCTAGCCTATCTAATTTTTTAATGATGCATGATCGTCTGGCTTTTGCATGGCACAATTTTATATTAGATTCCTTACCCTGTAAATAACAAACTTTATCTTATCAAATAAGGATGGTTATATAAATTACAACATGTCATTATATTCTGTTAACAATTAAAATTAATTTATACTTAATACAAATTCAATTAATCAAATGTATGTATGGAGATCCAAAATGAAAAAAAAATGCTCTTCCAAAAATATTTTTTTAAAAGTACATGTTTTCGTATCCACAATGTTATGTGGCAAAAGAAGTACTCCCTCCGTTAAAAAATATAAGACATTTTTAACCGAATCTCACTTCTCAATAAAGTAGTTATCTACTTTTAAACTAATCCTATTTTTTCATATTTACTCCTATTAAATACTCTACAATAAATATAAAGTCAATTATTAATAGGGGCACTTTTGAAAAAATGCAATGATTATATCTCAAAAGACTAAAAATGTCTTATATTTTTGAACATCTAACTCCTCAAAAAATATTTTATATTTTTAAACAGAGGGAGTATTATAATATTATACTTCATGAAATTTAGTTTATATATTTTTATTTTATTTATAAATAATATTATAATAAAAAAGTCTGGAAGAATTGCACCCAAGGCTCTTAGAATGAAAAAAAATAGCACATAAGATTATATACTTTTTGGATTGTTTATGTAGGCCAAATGTTTCAAATGCAAATATGTTTCTTTGTAAAAAAAAAAAAGAAAAAGAAAATGCATTTGTTTTTAATCACATGAACTATATATAATAAATAGACATTGCATTATTTATGTATGGATATTGTCATATTTTTTATAAACATTGTATTGTACATACATCTAAAAAATTTATATATTATTCTTCCACTTAACCATACAAATTATGTATAATAAATCGGACATTATATAATTTATTTATGGACACTGTCATATTTTTTATGGATATTGTGTTGTATTTACACCTATAAAACTTCTACATTTATGATAAATATGTCTTTTCACAAAAAATTATAGTTGCATTTGGAAGCTTTGAGTCTGCAAAAACAATTTAAAATATATAGAGTTTTATGTGCAAATTTTTCCATTCTCTGAGTCTTTGGTGCGATTCCCTCTAAAAGTTCCCTTCAACTCTGATCTTGTAGGATTTAATTATGATCCTCTCATTTTTTTTTTCATTAACATGATAAATAGATTTTTAAAGCACATTTAACACGATCACAAAAAGTAGATATCTTTTTGTGAGGTATTTATTATATTTTTATGATTTTATCATCATTATTATGTAGTAATTTTTTATTTTTTATTTTTTGAAATACTAGCGCGTGAATTATTCTGAAATAATTTTAACTTTTAAGAGATTGAGTGCTAAATAAAACAATGATAAAATGATTGAAGGAAAATATTAAATATATTTTCATTTAAAAAAAAATACTATATATGTTAAAGAAAACGAACCATCCCTGTGCACCTGAAAGATTGAAAAAGCAGAAGAGCAAACTTCGGAAGAGACAGGGACTCAGATACAGAGAAGTTAGGCATAACGCCCAGTCTCTATACTGAAAGAAAACCCACTTTCAGTTTCCACCTATAGCTTCTTCTTCCTCATCCTTTAAACCCTATTCTGGTTATGTTTCTGCTTCCATTTACTGTCAAACTTTTGCAAATTTCAGTACAGTAGACAGACCTTCAATATCACTGATGGCCTCAGCCATGGAAGCATCTCCTTACAGCTCAAAGACAAGTGAAGGTTCAGAGTTCAGCTTGAGAGAATGGGAATTGAAGGCACGAAGAAATGAAGACAGGACTAAATCCAGAAGATACTCTGCATCATATATCAGAAGCTTTAATGAAGAAACTAGATCTTTTAGATCACCAAACATCACCTTCTCTAGTGCTGCTTCTTCACCTGCATACCCCTTAAAAGGTATTATTTATTTCCCCTTTCTATCACTCTCTCTTTCATTCATGAAGTTCGTGAGTTTTTCTTCTCACAACATTTTTTTCCTGGCTTGCAGATGGGATAGACCCTTCCACCTATTCTTTCAATACTGCTATCAGAGGTAACAGAAAATGAATACAGAATCACACTCATAATTAGTCAAAAATTACATATACAGAATATGACCCATCAATATACATAGTCCATTATGGTTCATGTACTAGTTAGGTGAAAAAGCTTGTAGGGTTCTAGAGTAGCACCCATAGATATGTGTTTTAAAGAAACTGATAGTTGTAGTCTTACAGAATATGTGTGAAATGAACTTTATGTTGAAAAAGGAAGGTTTACATAAAGCAAAATAAGTGATTCGACTGATTTGGGATGATAATAATAATGCAGCATTACAAGCAAGGTCATGCTACAACAGTTGGGAGTGCTTATCTCCAGATGGGTTAGCTTTGAATTCAAAGTGGAATGAAGCAGAAAAGTATATATGTAACCCTCTTTCTGGGGAGGTACCATTGGAGTGTTTATCTTCAAAAGCTCTGATCAGCAGTGGAAGATCATTTCGTAAATCATCAAACAGAGTTGTTACCATATTTGATAATCCTACAGCTTACTCTTCAAGAAATCCTCAGACAAAGACATCATCAACCGACACACATGAAGATGAAGATGAAGTTCTTCGGTTTCCAGTTTCAGGTTCATCGCTTCATATATTCACTTATTCACCTTATTAGTCATTCACAACTTTGAGATAGATCCCACTTTTTTTCTCTACGTTTCTTAGAGAAGGTGATAGAACATGACGAATTTTTCAGCATATATTCTGTTATTTTCTGTTTTTCCTCGTAACAGTCTTAGATAACCCTGTCGTTCAGATTTTTCCCTTCATACTTGAGGTATATTGTATTGCAATGCGTCCATTTTTCTCTATCTCAAAACAGAAATAATAATGAACTCCTTTCTCCCAACCCCACCTCAAAATTGAAACGCTAAAGTCAGAATATTTTTTGAACTGTTATAAATTTCAATCAAGTGTTAATTTATTTAACCTGCACGAGATAAGACAAATGAATTACATGTGGGCTGGCCTAAATTGCTCTCCATTGTCTCTCTCAGAGAGAAGAGCTTGTAATTTCCTCTTTATGCATAACCATTTCGTTTCACTGGTAAAAACAGATTAAGTCGCAGAGTAATATTTCTTAGTTCTTACTGTGTGTCTTTGTACAGAAAAAAAGAAAGATGGAAAGACAAGAGATGTGGGGACTCAAAGTACTCTTCCTTATCTGAGTTCAAGCAGCCCGAGCCCCGCTTCAACTCCATCCATTACAGACAGATCTATAAAGGAACTTGCAGATTCACCTTCTTCAAATGCTAAAACCAAACCAGATCAAGAGGTTTTTCCTCCTCCTGCTCTTCTTTCTCAAATTAGTTAGTGGGAATTTTCACTAAATTCTGATATTTGAAAAAAAATGATCAATGAAATTAAACATGTACTCTCTCTCTCTCTTTCTATATATATAAATAAAACTTAATTTACAAACTTAAAGTTTTGGGATTATTTTTTTTGGGAGAGTGGGGCCAGCACTATTCCACTGGTTGTGTTTTCCAAGAAAGAAAATGGAATCTGCAAGCCAAAATAATTAGATAGCACCCTTTCAAAGTGGGGTAGTGATAGTTACATTGGTCCCTCCTATGTTTCTGGTGTCTCTGCTTCATTTAGTGTTGGTCCCTTCATACTTTCTTTTGCCTAGCTCTCTGCTTTTTAAGAATTATACAGTTGAAATTGTCTGTGTCCTTGTGAAGTTTTCTGTTCATCAAGCTGTTATCAGATCAGAGCCTTGTGTACAAAAATGTAGGTTCAACTATACTAAGATCCCACATTTAGGAACTAGATTTGAACAATTAAATGCTGTAATCTGCATATAGCACAATTTTTCTGAAGACATAGTATTTTTTCCCTTGAATTGCAAAACAAGTTGATGAGGGATTCCATAAACCACCTTACTAAATGAGTTTTGTATGGTAATAGTATTCTCTCTCTGCCTATCTCTTCCTTTGAGATTTTGGACATATAGTGTGCTTTCTAATCATTTAGTACTTTTTTTGCAACATTTTGGAAGGGCTAAGGGGATATATATATATATATATATATATTTGTGCAATCAGGAATAGCGATGCTGTCATATTTAATAAAGCAGAACTTTCAATAATTCATGTGACTTGATTTAGGCTTCAAATTTGTCATTTTGTCTGATTCTGCATCAGTTGGAATTGTTGGGTTTGGCATCACGAGTCTGTCTGGTGAAAAGGATAGAGGAATTATTCATTTTTATCATTTCTAAATTATACCTATTACATTTTTATAATTATTATTCAATAATTCTTAATACATATATACTAAAGCACCTAGAAGGAGACTTTTATGACAAAATGTATTTGATATAGTTTTATAAAAGAATCTTTAAATAAATCAAATTTACTTACTTATTTTAATGTATATTCATAATTGACTTGACAACAAAACTCTAATAAAGATTAGAAAGAGCAGATTCTACTGAAGTTCATAATATTTGTGCCCCACGTCCTTTTCTCTTATAGAGATCTATTTGCCATGATGTGGCATTGATGTGAGAGAACAAATGCATGTACAGGTAGAAGAGAAGGATGAAGACAGAGAAATGGAAAAGAATCATGAGTTGGGGAAGCAGGTGGATCAACTTTACAGGCAAAGTGGGTGCTTTCCATGGATCAAGAAGAAGAGGCTAAAAGATAAAGAGAAAGGAAGACATATAATGATTAATATCTTCATCGCTAGATGTCAAAGAAAAGAGTCTGTAAAATGATAAAGAAAAGATAACATTTTCAGTAATTTTGCTGGTTAGTTTGCGCTTTTTGGAAAGAAACGGAAAATAAAATTACGAAAATAAAAGGCCAAAATGATCATGCAATGATTTGTACTTTGTATGGCGAAAATTGGCTTGTGTCGCACATCCTCATGATTGACATGGACAACTATCACATTGTTTTAAGTCATGGATCCTATATAAAAGAATTTTTTTTCTTAATTTTTGCCACTGCTAAAACACAACATAATGTCATGAGGTTATTACTCTCCCCTCCCAAAAAGCTAACCTTATACCTGCTTATATAGTTAGGATTCTCTTCAAATCTTTTCAATGTCGGACGTAACAGCTCCCTTGGCTAATTCGTGTTGCCCCCATCACATATGGCCTGTCAGCTAGACAAATTCAGAATTGGTTCTAATACCACTTTATCATGAGGTCATTCCTCTCTATCCAAAAAGCTAATTTATTGAGGTGTGTAATGCACCCGCATATATAATTATGACCTCCCCACAACAACAACAAAAAAAAAAAAATCCCTCTAATATGAGATGTAACACTAAGCTCAACAAAGTTTGGGTTGATCCAATTTTCAGCAAAACTTTTTCAAAGAAGCTGCGCTCCACGCAACTATGGTGGCACCCTATAATTAGAGTCTGTTAGCATTTTGGTTCAAAGTTCAAACATAAATTTGCCTGTGTTTAGTGGAGCCAAACTTTACAGACTTGACCTAATAATCTTCTGATGATTAATAAAATTTACTTTTTCCTTCTTCTTTATGATATATTTGTTTTCCTTTCTTTGTAGGAGTTTCATGGATCTCCAGTAAGTTTTGTCACCGGTCTATTGTGAACAATACAGTATAGGTTTAAATTAATGAAGATCAAAACGCAAGGCTGCTGGTACCAACAGTTCTATATTGTTAATGAGAAGATACCCCACTTGCCTCCAAAAAAGTCAGTTACAAAATAATAATAACTAATGAAATAAAGGAGAAAAACAAAAGCTCTAGTAGATTCCTGATTAGAAAGAGGTGGAGTCAAATAAGCCATTTTCTTTAACCTGTCACTATTTTTACTGGTCTCCATATGTTTTACCTCTAATAAGAGCAGTATTAAATGTATTGTAACCAATGACCCGACCAATAACCTGGAATTCATATGAGCTTCTTGCTAGCAGCATCTCAAAACCATGAATGGAGCACCCCAAGTCTCTATCAATCACACATAACTAGCGGCTAGGAAATTTTCGGCAGATATGAAACTAGTTTCTCACCTGTTCATCAAGCGTAAAATAATGCAAATAATTTGCTCCCCACAAGCCTTGACTATTTCTTTCCAGCTGCTTCTCCTTCTCTTGCAACGAATGTCAAAATTTACAATTTGACGCCTTTACAGTCTACAATTTCCATTAATTTTAAGGGACCTAAGATTCATTTGGTTCAATAAAACAAGCAGGATGACTGCAGTTATCACGCACTTGAAGAAGGAGATACAATGGCATCTGCATTGGATACAAGCCGAACCTCGTATAGGTCATTCTCACCCTTTGCTGCACCCAAAATAATACATCAGAATGCATGCATTATTAAAATTTTGTGGTTAAACCATACTTGTTTGCTTAGAACTAGAGAAGTCTGCAATTACGGACTCACCAACTTCAGCTGTAATTCCTGGCCCAAAGAATGACGTAAATTTTGCCTAAAGACATACCAAAGAAAAAGTAAATATTCATGCCAAGATATTAACATGCCTGTGGATCTTATACTTCAATTAAATGGAATATTAACTAGATCAAACATCAAAAGCAATCAACATGGAAGGTTAAAGCTTTCAAGTTATCAACATATGTTGTAATATATAAATTACACTGACTGAGCCCTTCCAAGTACGGGTAACAATAGATATCCATGATCTACATCTGTTCCATCCATTTATTAAAATAAAAAGTTATAGATAAAATACATCGTGTAAAATTGGGTCCAATTTTTAACGGCTACATCTGGATCAACTCAACCCAACGGATCATGAATATCCAATGGATACTTTCACTTTTGGTCTAATAGATCTACCCTTTTAAATCCAAGAATGTATATATACCATGCACGGACATGCGCATCCATATGCTAGTGTGTGTGTGTGTGTGTGTGTGTGTGTGTGTGTGTGTAAATCCTTATACACTACATACACATGCATGTCACTAACTTACTCATGAATACTCAAGTCAGGGGGAAAAAAAAAAAAACTTATGCATGTATACATGTATATAGGTATGCACACACGCACATATGCGTTTTTCTTTTTTTTTTTTCCTCATTCTAAATTTTGAGAAGAATCTTAAACTTGCTGCTTTAGAACACAAGTATATTTTGAAAATAGACAATATCAACCATAACTTTATGGAATAAATTACAATCAAACTATGCATTTTAATTAATATTTAAGTAATTGGAAGATTGGATGGATTAGATATTGGTCCAAATAAACGATCCACAAATGGATGAACATGCTTCCAAAAAATAGAACATGGATGGATTTGGATTATCCAAGAAGCTGTCTACTGAAATTGTCAAGGTTGACCAACTGCCCATTTTTATCTGACCTAGAATCCACCCATAAAGAATTATAAAAAGTAGATTCTATCTCTTGACAGTTGGTTATCCATTTTTGTTTTACAGTTCAGAGCCAAATAGCCACCTCCTTGTTCGTCTAGCTTGGCAACTTTCAACTTTGTATCAAGATCTTTCAAATTTTCAATTAGAAGGGGAGGTTCGTCAAATAGTGTGTTAATTTTTGTACATTGAATCAGTTTTTGGACATAATATAATAGTGAGTTCCTGATTTCATTAAAGCCAAATGCCTAAGTTGTCATCCAATAATTTTTGCAACTGGAAATCTTTTTTGAGAGAAAGAACTGTTTTTGGGATTTTTGTTGGAAGTGAAGATAGAATATTTTGCTGGCCTCTTTTATTAGTGAGCACGTTAATAGTAAATGCAACAGTAAAGGAAAGTTGCTTACCTGTCTCTGTTCAAAATCTGACAACTGCAGAGCTTTAGCCTCAAAAGCCAAGACCAAACAGTATTTACCAAGTGGTGTGACCTAATCATGTGGCAGGATCAATTAGGCAATGACCATAGAGTCTAATCAAGTAAAATATTCTCTACCAAATCATTCTCAAGGCAGTATCTCAGTTAAACACAGATTATGGCATGGGGAAAACTAGCAAGCAATCCCTGAAAATTTAGGGACTTCACTTAGATCAAACATCTTTTTGCAAAAATGAAGTTGACATAAGCTTGAGTTACCAAAATGGCTACAGGGTCAGTCCCACATAATTGAGACGATAATATTGAAGGGATCTAAACATAGGCTAAAGAATAATTGAATAACATGTAACATGTACGCTAACAATAAAGATTAGAATTGAAAATAAATCTATTTAAAAGTATAAATAGATGGTAAAAGGATGAGGGGATTTTTTTTTTCGAAAAAAAAAGACCCCCATATTGCAGGGTAGGGAAACACATAAACTAGTACCATAACTTCCCACAAACTATTATCATTTTTTCTAGAAAATGAAAAACTTCCAATATTTTCCTTTAGTGTTTGCCGATGGAATTAGATCAATATTAGAAGAGTACCAAAAAAAAAAACATCAGATATAGAACAGATAAATGAATCTACCCAAACAGGAAAACCATACTTCTTCACGAATCATTTTTAGAACAGGTGCATTCCTCCTTGGTATTCCTCCTCCCTGGAAATTTCAAAGCAGATAAATTAATTTCATGAGCCAAGATTAAAAATATACACTAACACTTCCATGTTGGATAAATCATGTAAGTTTCACAATTCAGTTCACAAATATTGATTATTCAGTATACAAACAAGAAATGAACTTCACACCATAGCTTTTACGTTTTTCAAACTCTATCCGGTAAAAATTAAGTCATATGATTAGAATTAGGCTCTCTACCCTTTCTTATAATCATACAGATGGTGAAATTTCTGTTCTAATCGTCCTGTCGATGCATTATCTAGATAGGTGGTGATGATGCTGACATGAAGAAAAATCATCAAGTATATTTGAAATTAAAGATCTTGGCTCATTGAAATACTTTCTGGGAATTCACTTTGATGGATCAAAAGTAGACATTTCCATTAACCAATAAAAGCACACAGTTGATCTACTAAAAGAGAAAGGGCTCCTAGATTTCAAAGTAATTGAGACCCCTATCACCGCCAATATAAAGCTCCAACCAAACAAGACAAAAGACAAATTTGACAAAAACAAATATCTAAAGATAGTTGGGAGGCTCGTCTGCTTATAGATGTCCAAACATAGATTTTGTAGTTAATGTGGTGAGTCTTTTTTTGAGGCAGTATATTCGATTCCAGAGTACCTTAACGAGTTACTAGTGAGAGGAATGCTTTATAAAAAGCAAGGGATACTACAGGTAGAAGTCTATGTTGGCACATATTGGGATGGAAATATTAGTGACAGAAGATATACTTCTAATGATTGCACTTCTGTTTGTGGAAATCTAGTAATAAGGAGTAAGAAGCGAAAGTGGCAACTGGAAATAGTGCACGGGCCACATTTAAATTATAAGCCCATGAGTTTGTGAGGCATTGTGGATTGAAGGGGAACATGAGGAACTTAGCATTCATAGCTCCACAACTTTGAAAATCTATTGCAACAATAAAGCAATTATCTCCATTGCCAGTAATCCAGTCCTTCATGGAGTCATGACAAACTAAACATGGTGAACTAGATAAGCAATTTAGTTAGGAACAAATAGAAAGAGGTCATATTTGTGTTACCTATGTCCCCAGAAATGATCAGTTGACAGACATGTTGACTATAGGACTGGACTGACCAATAAGAAGCTCAATAACTTAGTAAGAAAGTTGTCCATGAAAAACATTTTCCAACCAGCTTGACGGGATGTGAAAGCTGCTCAAGATATTTCCATGTTTTTGATATTTCTCAACTCCTTATATCTTTATTCCCAGAGTTTAGGAGGGTAGGAATTGTATATATTCAAATTCTATTTCAAGTCTACTCATCAAGTTAGTTTTTTAGTTCCTATACTTCAGGATTTTGCTGTCAAATACTTCGCCTTTATCTTTCTATAAAAGCTGGTGTCCTGTTAGTATGCAGAATAAATAAATAAATAAATAAACTGGAAAGAAGTAATCTACCATTCATAAAGCATCGCATAATTAGCAACTTGGCACTCAACCGAAATGAGAATTAAGGGGAACTACATCCTTAAAATCATGTCTTTTTTCAGCAAAGAGATAACTGCATATGCCAACTGCCAAGAATGTAACCACTACAACCCCAGTTTGTTACTGTCTCAAGTGCTGAGTTCATTCTTCACTATAAAGAGATCAGTTCCATCATGCAATTCATTTGTTTGTCATCCATCAATCCGGACAGGTGTCACTATGTTGCTCAATTTTCAAAATTTCCTCCAACTATATACTCTTGGCAACATCTGTTAGTACTTCAAAGGATTCCAGATTCCCACTAGAACTCATCCTTTGTCAGATGATAAATATAAAAACAATTCAAGGGCCTCCTACTATAAAAGCTTAAGCCTTTGGATGAAAGGTTCCCTGTATCCTTCATGACCAAACACCTTGGCCCTTCAGTTTCTTCTAATAAAATAAATTAAAATTTTAAAGCAGGTATGGTAGGTAAGCTTTGTCTACAATTCATGCCCTACCCCAAGGGGTTTCATAAGAGGGGACCAGTCACAGGCTTCCTCCAACAAATCAAGCTTTTTGTGACATAATTTTTCTCGAAAATATTGTTCAATTTGGTAATGCAGACCTTACCAAGAAACCCCTCATACACTTAAAACTTCACAAGAGGAAAATGCTCCCTCACTGAAGAAGCTAACCACAGCAATCAGTTTCAATATGTGTTGTCAAAAAATGCACCAAGAACTTAACTCATCTCACATTCAAAGCTATAGAATAATAAACTATACTTGCTTTTATGCATGCCGTAAAACAAAGAAAAAGAATTTAATTTTGCCCTTTAAATATGAGATAAGAGAATAAATAATATACAAATGAAAATCATGCTTCTAAAAGAAATGCAGTAAAGTGAAATAACATACTAGACCATATTGGAATATCCGTTTCAATGCCTCATCCAAATGCTGCTCATCCCCATACCGAAATCGAGTGACATCGTTCTTGACCTACAAGGCCATAGACATTTCACACAGAAAATTGATTTTTGTAACCATACTTAATGGGGTACAATGGCATTCACATTGAGTATATAGGAGTGAAGGAAATATTTAAATCTATAAATGATACATAAAATCACATTGTGATTTGATTTTCTTGTAGTATATCCGGGGGGCTAGTGATGCAATTTGAGAAGATGCAATTATGTTCATATCATTAAGTAATAATGTAATTACTTTTGAGAGATAAGGGTTTGGCAGAAATACTAGTTTTTATCTAGGTTGTCCTTTCTGTGTTCCCAGAAACAAGTTCAAGTTGAAGTCATGACAGAGAGAGTAATCACTAGAGACATAAATCTTAAGGCAGGAAACTAGGAAACTTTGGTAATTGATATCCATCGTTCATAATTCCTTTGGCTGTCCTTTCTCATTTAGCATAAAGAATAGAATTTTTGAAAGCATAATATGATAAAGAGCATATATGGAAACATATGCAGATCAGGAACCCAACCTGAAGTATCACATTTAATGGAAAACATTAATCATTCCAAATGGCTATTAAATAATAAAGGTGAACTACTCTTAGCTTCAGGCATTGACAAGGCATCGATCTGCAGATATGGACTACTCATGCGGCAAGAACAAGGAAAGTAAGAAAATTTTTGCCACAAATTAATGTTCCCATATTCCTACCCTTGAGAAAAATATAACTTTCCAACAGATGATAATTAAGGAAAAGAAAAGAAAATTTGCATATTTCATTTTTCCTAACTAAAGATAATTGATCATGCTAACAAGTGCATAATCACTGACTTTCTGCGGTACAATATACTGTGAACATATCAAGTTAGTTTGACAATGAAAGCTTTCTTTCTTATATTAATCAAATTTCGTTCAAGGAATATTAAATCTAATCCTTAAAGCTATGATGAAAATTTGCTACAAAAGCTTCAGCCTGAAGGAAAAAAAATAGATGTCATGCACACAATACCTAGCACGAATGTACCAAGTTATAGCAACTATCATGGCCAAATCAATAAATAGAACAGTGCTAATGTAATTATAGAACAGAAAAGACAACACTCAACTACACATTAGAAAAACAGAAGACAGATTTCAAAATTCTAGAACTGGTAATAGAAATGAAATTACCTGTTTAAGAATTGGAGTGGCACATGTTTCCCTTAAATTCTGAGCATCTGAATAGGTCAGGCATGGAACTGGTTTTAGTTCAGCATACTGCATAAAAAGATGGCCCCATTGTCAAAATATGAACCAAACTACGTGTGTGATCCACATGAGCACCCCTAGAGTCAAGAAAAGTGATAGGCATGAAATACTCAATAAAATTAACTACATTCATTAGCTAAAACCTCCGTATTATAAATTCTCTTTTAAATGGATGAACATTTCTTTCACCTTGAGTGCCATCCCAATAATCGCAAGAGGGAACCCATATGTTAACATTATAGCTGACCATTCTGATCCTGGGAGGATGTTAAAATATGCCCCAAAGCCATACCTGTATATTTCAAAAAAAAAAAAAAAACCATCGTTATAAGAAGAAGCGCTTTATATAGCTATCATGTATTAATGTGGAGGGAAACTCACACCAAAAGTGAAACTCCGACAGCTAGACCAACTACGCCAAATGAGATCTGCAATAATAATAATTCCTGTGTAAGTTAATCTGAAAAAGACAAGCACAAAAAGCAAAAATAAATGAAACTAAGCTAGTTATTAAATTTCCTACGAAGGGGAACAAGACAAGCATCTAAATCAGCAAGTTAGTTAACAGTAACACGAACTAAAACTTGCAGTGGCAGATAAGATTTCCATGAGAAAGCAGGAAAATATTACAGACAATCAATGTATTCAGTATCCACTAACGTATTTTGTTTATGACATGAAAGTTTGGAACAGAATAATTGTGAATTTATGGAAATATGTTGATCCGACAAAAGTAAATTCATTTTTACAATGGGAAAGTTAATGTGGCACTTTCAAGTTTCTTGCTTCACGGAGTGAAACAGGATTTAAATATTTCACAAGGTAAAAATAAGTAAAGATCGGCCCATTAACATTTAAACTTATATCATTAGGGATGTTTTAGAGTATTGATTATAGCATAATGTAATATTCGTCGAAGTCTCAACACCATAACAACTCTTTCTCCGACCATAAATCAAAAGGGACTTTCCCCTTCAAGAGGAAAAAGGACTCTTCGCAGCGTCACCACGCATTCTCTCACAAAACCTTCAAGTGCTTGATAGATTTTAAAAACAAGACCTACCAATTCTTTCAGAAAACTAAAATAAATTGGGTAACATCACAATACTAACTACAAAACACAAGCGAAACAGAAACAGACCTTAGAAAGTGAGAACCCCTCATCCGGAACAATGGTCTTGTTGCCAACGTCAATGGAAGCAGATTGTGTAGAATCAGCAGCCCTGGGTATCAACACCAACTTTGATCTACGATGACTCTCGGAAATTCTGCCATTAGATTCAAGCTGAATGAAAATGCTGCTGCCCGTGAGTTGTGACCTACTTTTGTTGAGATGACCACGAGCTGAACTAGTCAGAGCGATAAAACGATGACGACAGCAGAAGCCGAATTGTTCGCCAGAGCAAACAACGGCTCCGCCGGCCGGTGACACTGATGACCTGAGAAGCATTAGTTTGACAGTGGCTTCTTCCGAGATGGCGTTTGCCTCGTTGAGCACAAGAGGAGGAAGTGTGGGTGAGGTCGAAGAAAAACTGTCCGTTGCTCCCAACCGCCAAAATTTGGATTACGTGTCGACATTAGGTTCAACTGAATTTATCTGGATTTCATTATTTCATTATTTTATTTACATTTTTTTTTTTGGCCTACCATTATTTTATTTACAAATGTTTTTATTTTACAAATGTTCTATATTTTTAGTCAATAATTGCGATTTATTTTAAACGATTTCTGCTCTGTTTTGGAGATTATGCTTGCTTAAAAACCTTTTAAATGTGTTTTGGCCAACAAAAATTTTAAAACTATATTTTAAAAAAATTGTCGGATTTCATTATTTTATTTACAAATGTTTTATATTTTTAGTCAATAATAATTTAGACTTACTTCAAACGGTTTCTGGTCTGTTTCGGAGATTTATGCTTGTTTTCAACTCACTTCAAATTTTGAACAGATTCAGCTAAGACCAAAGTAGTATAAATTGATAATTGAAGAAAATTTTAGGATAAAAATTTCATTATCTTGAAAAGAAAATTTGATGCTATTCCCAAATTATACAATTCCCTTGTTTAAAAATATAAAACATTTTTAACTAAATCTCAACTCTAATAAGGTAATTACCTCCTTTCAAACTAATTTTATCTTTTCATAGTTATCCCTATTAAAAACTTTACAATAAATATAAAGTCATTTATCAACAGGGGCATTTTTAAAAAAAAGATAATAATTACATCTTAAAAGATTAAAAATACCTTATATTTTTTAACAAAAAGAGTATATATATATTTGGGAAAATAGCATCTAAGGATCACTGTACAATATTTATATTCCATAAGGACCAAATAATTTTATAATATTATTACAACTGTTTGGTCCTTTTAACATATTAATTTCATAAGCGAAAAAACCGAAATGTCCTCATAGTTAAAAAAAAAAAAAAATGAAACCCCCACTGTCGCCAGCTACCAGTCGTCGGACCTCTGTCAGCAATGAGGTTGCCGAAGCCTCTGCTATCAGTGGGGTCGTCGAAGTTCCGGCATTGACGACATTTTATTTCAAAATTGAGATTTTTAAATGGCCAAGGGTAGGTTTGATCCCATAACCCTTAATCACCTAAAAAGCATAATAGCCACTAGGCCACCAAACCTTTTAATACATGTATATGGCAAAAAAAAAAAATTATAAGGAGTAAATCAAATATAAAACCACTTCCATATAATAACCCAATATGTGTTGTTAATTTCTAAATGAAATTTATTATTTTACGAATGTCACTTGTTAATTTAATATGAATAATTACAAATTAATGGTTTCAAAACTTCACTCATTTTATTTGTTAAACATTTCAATGTCTTGTTGCCAATCACAAATAAGTTATTGTCAAAATTAAATGGATATTTATTAGTGAATGATTAACACGCACAACTAAACTCTTTTTTATCATTTTTTCTAACTTATTAAAAACGTAATAGATTATTGTTAATTTCAAATGAATTATTGTTATTTTACAAATGTCACTTGTTAATCTAACATAGACGATTATAAATTGGGGACTTCAAAACTTCACTCATTTTACTTGTTAAATGTCTTGTTGTCAATCACGAATAGCATCCCAATGTATCAGTCATTTATTGACAAGTATCCGTTTGGTTTTGACAACAAATTAATCATGATTGGCAATAAGACATTGAGATATTTAACAAGTAAAATGAGTGAAGTTTTGAAACTCCTAATTTGTAATTATATACATCAGATTAACAAGCAACATTTGTAAAATAACAACAATTCATTTGAAATTAATAAAAATTTATTATGGTTTTAACAAGTTAAAAAAATAATAGGAAAGGTTTAGTTGTACGTGTTAGTCATTCACTGACAAGTATCCGTTTAATTTTGACAACAACCTATTTGTGATTGACAACAAGATATTGGGACATTTAGCAAGTAAAGTAAGTGAAATTTTGAAACTCTCAATTTGTAATTGTTCATATCAGATTAACAAGCGATATTTGTAAAATAATAAATTTCGTTTAAAAATTAACAACACATATTAAGTTATTATATAAAAGTGATTTTGTGCTTAATTTACTATTTATAATTTTTTTTATCATATATATATATATATATATATTAAAGGGCTTGGTGGCTTAATAGCTATCATGCTTTTTAAGTGATTAAGGGTCATGGAATCAAATCCATCCTTAATCATATAAAAATATTAGTTTTAAAATAAAATATTGTTGGTATTGGCAACAAGGGCTCTGATGACAGGGTTTTTTTTATTTTTAAATTATAAAATTAATATGTTAAAAGGATTAAAGAGTTACAGTAATATTGTAAAATTATTTAATATGAAGCCATTTAATTTTTATAAAATATAAATATTATTCAATGATCTTTGTATGCTATTTTTCTCGTGTGTTTCGATGATTTCGTAACTTTGCTGACCAGCCTCACAGCTAAATGCCCCAAAACACGAGTACTTTACTAATTATAGATACTTCCTTGCCTTCAATTATTCCTGGAAGGAGCCATCGCGATGTCACTGATATCGGCCAAGCGCGCCTTGTTCTTCAGCTTCATTCTCTTCATCCCCTTTCTGATCTCAACGCCTACTTCAGTACTCGCTAGACAACCGCACAACATCAATTTTAGGTCGCTGAATCTCTACCCGGAAGGCCTTGCTTGGGATCCATCGGGTCAGCACTTTCTCGTCGGATCACTCAATCAACGGATCGTCTCCGCCGTCTCCGACGCCGGCGTCGTTGAAACCTTTATCTCCGATCCTTCGCTTCCCGAAAATGTCACCTTTTCTGGGCTCGCCGTCGATTCCCTGAAGAAACGCCTCCTTGTTGTCGTCCACTCTAGGGAGCCTCTCCCACCGTTCAATGCCCTAGCCGCCTACGACCTTCGTTCCCGTCAACGTATCTTCCTGTCTGTTATTAACGCTGCCGGAAACGACGATGGAGCTACCCGTCCAATTGCAAACGACGTCGCGGTGGATTACAAGGGTAATGCCTATGTCACCAACTCTGCTGGTAACTACATCTGGAAGGTCAACGAAAGAGGAGAAGCCTCAATCTTCTCGAGGGCGCCGCAGTTCACTGCTCATCCTGTGGACCGCGATACACCGTATAGTTTCATTGGGCTGAATGGGATTGCTTATGTCTCCAAGGGGTATCTTCTGGTGGTGCAATCCAGTACGGGCAAGATGTTCAAGGTAAGTGAGGATGACGGGAGAGCGAAGCTGGTGTTGTTGAACGAGGATTTGACTGGTGCGGACGACATAGCTATCCGAAGTGACGGCGTCGTTTTTGTTGTCTCCCCTGTGAATAGGCTGTGGCTTTTGAAAAGCCAAGATAGTTGGGCAGAGGGAGTGGTGTATGATAAGATTGACCTTGATTTGGAGAGGTTTCCTACATCGGTTGCTGTGGGGGAAAGGGATAGAGTGTATGTGTTATATGGGCATGTGAACGAGGGGACAGTGGAGAATTCAGGGAGGGAAAGTTTTAGTATCCAAGAAGTGAGATCAAAGAAGGAGGAGGAAGATGATAATATTTGGATGTTCATTTTGATTGGGTTAGGCTTCGCTTATTTCTTGTTTTGGAGGTTTCAGATGCGGCAGCTTGTGACCAAAATGGACAAGAAGATTAATTAATTCCCACAATTCCCTCATTTTGTGATTTGCATGTTCCGTAATTGTAAATTCGCTAGTTTTTCTCACATTTTTGAAACTTAATAGCTCGTTTCAAATCTTAATATTTATCCTTTATTGCAATATGGAATCCTTTTACATGTTGAACCCTGGTAGCATGGAGATAAAATCTCTAACCTCGTCTTTTGAATAATTATATTCCAGTCTGGGAGCTGTTTATGCCCACCACATTGTTTCTAAATTGTTGAGCTTCTCATTCTGATTCTGTCAGTATCCCTATTATTCTCTTTCATACCATTACTTTGACATTCAATAATTTATGTAACATACTGATGATTGGTGAACGAGCAAAGCATCTGAATGCGCTGATGTTTTATTTAAAATTTTAGTGTATGAGCAAGCATGTCATGTGGTCTATCGGGTATGATCTTATTTCTTATATCTATGTTTTGTTTCTCTCTTTAATATTGTTGTTCAAAATCTCAGTACACTAGCAATCTCCGCTGAATCTGTGATTGCTCAGTAATAGTTGAAGAAAAGCATTTGTTATTTTTATTAAGATTTCACATTTATTTGTTAAATTTAATAGTGTATTTTATTAGTTGGCACATGAAATAGCAGATTTGAAATTTTTCTAAAACTGTTTGGTATAACAAGAAGCCTTATTACACTAGGTGGAGTCAATTATATGGATTGCATTACGCTATTATGCTCTATCATTTATCGAGCTTTTAGGAATGTTGTTAACTAAAAAGTTTCGGTTAATAACATCTATAACTAAAATATATAATTACCTATCAAACTGGTAGGTGGGTACCTATATATTTAGTCTAGTATGATTTAGTGCCAGTCGACTGACAGTTTCAAATCGTTATGATGATTGTGAAGCTACGCGCCAACTATGAGTTATGAGTACCAAAGTGTTATATGTTATGTTTTTATGATTTTGTTTTAAGCAGTGAAGTTAAAGATGCCAAAAGGCACACCTGGGATGCTGAGGCAAGGTGTCACTAGGGGTCCCTCCTCTTGATGATTAATCTGGTGGTGCTTCTTCAGTGTGCAACTATGGTGCCTTTTGGAGTGAAATGAAGTTCTTGCCTTCACTGTTTAAGTGTAATCTTGATGCTTGTCATTCTTTATGTGAATTTCTTTAGACAGTTCATTAGAAAGAATGTCCGGGTGATTTGGGCAACGCTGGGTTGTAACCCATGTGGAGGCAGTAAGGTAATGGGATGATAGCTTTGCCTTGCCTGATTGATCCGATGTTAGAAAGTGCTGTCCTGAACTCTCTATCTTTTTGATTTACTACTAAAATGCAACCGTTTATCTCTGTTTCTATCTTTTTGATTTACTACTAAAATGCAACCATGTATCTCTGTTAGTTACTCTTTGTTTATAGCCTTTCATCATGCTATATTGCTGTAGCTGGACTTTGAAAGAGAGAACCTGCAATTACAGAAATTGTTAATTGAAACTTTAAGAAGTGCAAATTGTTTCTTCTTGGTATTTTAGAGCTCCTATATCATGGTAATTTACCTTGAACATGTTACTATGTTTGAGTTCCATGTTTGAACAATTATCTTATTTGGCAACTGTAAGTAATGATAGCTAAAATTTATTTGTTAGTAATTTATCATTATCTTTTGCCACCTCCATATTTCGGCACTATACATCAGTTGAAGAATTGATTTTTAGACACCATGTTGGCTCAAGGCACCAGGTGGTGTATTGCCTTTGACTGCTTTGTGTTTTATGATGTGTGCATAGTTATACTTAACTAATTATTAGTGGTACAGAAAGATTGCATTAGTGTGGAATCCTTCCCCTTGATGATGAAAACTTTTTTGCCAAGGGGTGTCCTTCTTCCCTAAGGAATCTCTCTCAACATGAATAACGAGCATCTGCCTGATCCTACCCATCATTCTATACGTTGATCTTGCATGACAATTCCTTTGTATCCTGTGACAAGTTTCTTCATGTTACTATTCTTCGCTCTGGTTTTGCTGCAGACATATATCATTTGGTGGATCTCCTCTTTTTGTTTTATTTGTTCATTCTAATATTTCATTTTATTGGTTTCTGCTCTGTGTCAGTTAGACTGCCCCTTGTGTGAAAAGGATTAGACTGCCCCTTATGTGAAAAGGATCTTCCGGTCTTTATATTATGGATTTTTTTGAGCTAATCTGCTATGAATTTTTACTAGACATTGTTGATGACTACTTTGATATTGTTGTGATTGTGTCTTTGTTGAGTAAGTGTGGCTTATATCTTTCTATTTGATTACCCATACATTGATACCACAATTTTGTTGACCTTATTGCCTGCTTTTGATACATCTACTTGCAACTTGAGCAGTAAATGGCCTTCAGCGCTGAAATACTAATTTGATATCCTTGCTTCATAAATTAGTTCTGGTACTCAATGTTATGCAAGTGTTTATTCTTGCTTCCTACACTGGTATAACCATTTTTGCCTGTGTTGGTGCATGTAATATCATGATTTAAAATATGAACACAAGTAACTCTATCTAAATAACACTATTTCGCTTGTTATTGGGCGTAACATCCTAGCCTCTGATCTGCATGCTGCTACGTGAACTTGATTGTTGTCCACGGTTTAGACGCTACAATTTTGGCATGCAGTGTACTGCGGAAGATATAAAAATATTTGTTCAGATTGACTATTTATAGATATATATATATATATATTGTTTTGGCCTAAGACCAGATTGACTATTTAGAGAAAATGCAGCCATGCAAAGAGCAGGATATTTATGTTAACGAATAGTGTAGTTTCTATTTTTAGGTACTGCCAAAGTGCCAATGTTACAGACTTTTAAATTTATCGACGAGATTTGTAATAATACTTAACATTCCATCCTCTGTCGTCTGTTGCTTTTGACATTTGACTTTGTTGTCCTGTAACTGGGCAATACCGGGAATTGTTTGATTGATGAGAATTTAGGCCTCTTTCAATGGCAGAAATACAGATCATGAGACATGACAAATATCGGAAGCATTTTTCCTCATGGATTGCAGGTCGGTGATTCTGTAATGGTTTACCTTACCACTGAATTCTTTCAAATTTTATCCCTTTTATTTCTTTTGCAACTTCTCATTCTTTACACCTTATCCCTCCGAAGGATTGAATTTTTCCAGATTATTTATACCTTTGATGATTCCTTTTCCTTTCATCTTTGAGTGGATTCTCCGAGCAGCTAGTTACACTTGAAAAGCTGCTTGCTCTCATCAATACATGACAAATTGGGGAAAAACTGAACCGAACTAGAATTACAAGCCTGTTCCCACACGTAAACCCATCTACTTGGTAGGACTTTATACAAGAAAAAGCAAAAAGTCTCTTGAAAGAATTCAGTATCTTCCTAGATCTTCTTAAATTGCCTTCCTTGTGTTTCCGCCTTTCAGAAGAAACTTTACGTGCTTATGAGAAGCCATGAGGTCCAAATTCCTGTCAGTTAGTGATCCATTGAAGCCAAGCTCCGAGTTCTTCGAGAAGGAATTTGCGAGTGTCAATCTTCCCTTCTCTATCATTATTACTTCTTTTGTTAAGGATTACCATATCAAATTAAAGCAAAAGCAAGTTAGGATCTGAGTTAGAGAAATGCTTTCTTTTATGCCTGCGAGTGTCTGTAACTTGCAGAAACACGTTTGCTTTCGTCAACCCTGTGATGCTCCTTTTCTTTTGATGTTCAGTAATGCTCTCGCAATCCTGTTGTTTCGCTTAAGCTTGGATCAGAAGAGCCCCCCCCCCCCCAAAAAAAAAAAAAACTTTTATATTATCAAAGGAATCCGATAGGATAGAGAATTCTAAAGCAAACCAATCAGGGTGGTCTTCGCTTGCCGGGGAGGGTTTTATTTTCGGGCCAAAACAGATTCACTTGCTGCTGCTGGGAAGGGTTTCTTTCAAATCTCGGCTTTATTTTTGGGCATAGTCACTTGCTTCTATAATTATTAAAGTCTGTTTATATCAATAAAACCTATGTATATCAATTATACGTTTTCCTTTTTTTTTTTTGGGAAAAAAAACAACGTACAAAAGTATTTTCACTATTACAGAGAGAAATATTTACAAGAATGCTTGAGAGTTAAGCAGCGTACCAAGAACGTTCTCATATTCAACCTGTAGATATGAAAACGTGCATTTCATAAACACTCGCATCGTAAGGATCACCTATATGAACATTTCTGAGGGAAAAAAACACCCCCATAAAATTTAGGGGAAATGAAAATTATGGAACTTATAAAATTATTAATGGTAACTGATGATCTCAAAATATTAAAATGTCATAAAAGGATTATAGTTTTTATTTGCAATTAAAACACTTCTAAGTTTTGAAATAATTAATAGAAAATTACTCATAAATTTAATAAGAGTTTGTTGTAAATTTAAATAAGATTACTTGTGAACCTATAAAAAGTTAATTGTAATTAGATAAATAGTTTCATGAATATATACATTATCACTTGTGAATTAAGAATAATCATTTGTAAATTTTAAAAAGATTACTTATAAATTTATGAAAAATCAGTTGTTAATAAATATTTAGAAACATGAAAAGAGTTTTTAAATTATTCATTTATAATTAAAACTATTTATATCCATTTGAATCTAGGATTTTATATATTCACATGTAATATTTCTTAAATTCACAACCGATTGTCCTTTGATAAATTAACAAGGCTATTTATTTATTTACTATTGAATTTCATAAACTTATTAGTGACTTTTCTAATATTCTTAGTGCCTATCATTAAATTTATAAGTAACGATACATAAATTTATAAAACTATCTTTTCATAGTTGACTTTCTATTAATTTGTAAGTAACATTATTTAAATTCACAATTAACTTTATTTAAATTAATAAGTCACATTTCATTATTTATTTGAATAACTATTTATTTTTTAATTACAAATAAATACTACAAACATTTTAATAATCCAAAATCTTCAATTATCATTAATACATTCATAAAGTTTATGATTGTCATTTTTGCTGAAAACTACCTATAAGATATTTGGATGCACATCACCCTAATTAAATTCATTCACTTCTCGATGGGATAATAATACAATTGTAAAATAGCATTGCATATTCGAGGGAATTGAGGAGAGTTAACCTAGAGGGCAAAGAGGGGTGCTTGAAAGTTTTACTTGCCAAATTTTTTAATATTTTTTATTAGACATTCCATGCATTAGATCCCACATCCGTTAGACCGTT